CACACTGATGCTGATTAAAAAGTCAGGGTGATGGAGGGAAAGCTTGAGATACTGAGTGTCAGCAGTGTGGTTACAGTATCTGCATGTTTGGAAAGAAAAGGGCTCTTGCAGACAGTCCTGCTTTAGCAGGTTTTGGATTAAACCTGGGGCCTTTGGTAACGTCTGATTCACATTGTAAAAAGTGATATTTTTAACATAGCACCTCCTGCAATGTTTCTCATTCGATCTGCATCTCAGCACTGTGCTACAGATGCTCCTGGTGCAGTTATACCCCCAACATTCAGGAATAACAGGATTTCCTAAATTATGGCAAGATTAGACAAAGATGGTACCAACTTGCTGATTACAACACGTGTAGTAGTTCCAGCTTACTTTTCTGGTTATTCATTTTGCATGATGAACTGGAATGATGTTTATATATAACATAACATACTACATTATGTTTATATATATATAACAACATATATAAATATCATTTTGAGTTTTATATATGCATGTTATATGTATATTTTATATATATGTTTCACTTTGGCTTTCTCATGATTTGTCTTCTTTTGTCACTGTGCTTTTCCTCAGTGTGAATGTAAAAGCATAAATCCAGCACAGTTTCCTGCCTCCTTTTAAAAGCTTTAAATAGCCTTTTCTTGCTGTCATGCAGCAGATCTTAGCAGAAGTCATTTGGTACTAACAGAACTCAGAGTGCTTTAACAAAGAAGTCAGTGACTGTAATAGTTTCTATTGAACCTGGTACAATGTTTTGGCAAATGCATCTCCATTCCCTTTGCATCTGTGAGTGAAAGGTGCTTTGAGAAGGAGGAAAATGTCTGCTTTTTATAGAGCCATGCAGGGTATGCAGTCATTTTGTTGGGTTTTTTCCCCTAACCATCTTTCCTGAGGTCTGCTGTAGGGTGACTGTTTATGTAAAGTCTAGTGTTTCCTAGCACTTTATTTTCAGACTTTATGTAGATGAAATGCTTGTGGTCACTGTCACTGGTTCACCACATGAAGGATGCCTAATAGCATGGGAGCTGTGCTGTCAGTGGGAGGAGCTCGCCCAGGAAACTTTTGGAAAAATCTGTCTTGTGTAAAACAAGCAAACAAAATTCTAGCAACGTCTTTTATGTGAATGTAACCATGTGTGGAATGTGCACTCCTTCTCTTCCCCTTGGTCTCCAATGTATATATAGCATCCATTCAGCCACTTGCTATGGATTCTGTGCACTCCAGCAGGCAGCATGGAGCCAGCCATCCATTTTCTGTGACTCTCTCCTGCCTGTAGGCCAAGAAGGCAGGAATTGTTTCTGTGCAGTTTGTGGAGGTTGAGGAGGCTGTTTGTGTGTTTTGAGTTTTAACACAAACTAAAAAAAAAATAAAATAAAATAAAGAAGGCTTTCTGTTCTCACTGCCTTGCAAGGCATCCTCGAGAAATTGGAACCCTTTCCCACAAGGAACTGATGTATGTGCCATACTCTAAATGTGATTTCAGTCCATAGGATTTCTGTGGCCAGGGATTGATTGCAGCATGTACCTGTCTGTAGCAGGTTATTGAGTAAACTCAGCAGATCTGTAACTGAGGCAGGCTCTTCATGCCCATAACAAGACCAAAGATTTTGCAGACCATTAATTCATCCATCTAATCAGCTGGAAATTTCAGAGGTGCGTGAAAGAATTGCCTCTTGGGCACCCTTGAAAATACCAGTTTACTTCATTATGCTTTTTATGGTCTAATCTGTGCTTTCAGATTGATCTTTTTCTCATAATGAAAATGTTAAGCAAGAATAAAAGTTGTTACTGTATCTTTGATAGGAATCGTGCAACATGGATCAAATAGTATAATTCAGTTTAAATAACCTGAAATATATACAGTAATCTTAAGGAATGCATGCTCAGTTCTGCTTGGGTTGTCTGTCTTGTCCTGCTTATCTTCTGTAGAAGTGTAGTTCTCGAAGGTTTAAGTCCTGCTCTAATGTGCCTCACTCCCAAATAGGACTACCTGATATAATTTTAAGTTTATCCTTTTGGTTGGAAAGAGGGTAATTAAGGGAACAATAGAAAAGCTTATTAAAACTGCATTCAGGTTCAATGGAGTGAAAAGCATCTTCCTGTGACAAGATGCTTCCAAAATCATGTTTTTCTGCTCTCTCACTGACACGGTTCCCCAGCATTAGGCTGTGTGGATTTGAAGCAGTGGCTTGGGCTGTGCTGGTGGCCCTGTTTGCATTGCTGTGGTGGTTGTGATAGACTGGAACAATAACCTTAATCCCGGGCACCTTCTCACCCCTGGGGAAGGGGAGGAGTTCCACAGGAATTTACAATCTGCTTTGCATTGCATTCCCATTTCTTGGGTCACAGGTTTTTACATCAAGAAAAGCATAAATTCAGCTATGTTACCCCAGCTTGGCTTTGCAGGCAGTGTCAGTATTGAAGCCAGCAAAGACGAGGCTGCAGGACTTTCTAAAGCTGTGAGCACCCTTGCATATATCCACTGCCCGGTTTTCCTGGGACTGGTTCCTTACAAAATGGCCACATTCATGCTATTACCATAATCCGTGAAAGCTGGTTGTACATCCTGGGTTCTGCTTCAGTGAACTGGGAAGCCTGTCTGTCTAAAAACAGAATCACAGCAGCCAAGGAATTGTTTGCTTGTGTAGTCAGCCCAGCCCAGGCTGTGTTCCTGTGCCCTGGTTGCAGGCTGAGATTGCGGGTAAATCACATGCCTGGGTCGGGTGGCTCTGGGGAGGCTCGCAGGGAAAGCTGTGCTGGATGGGCCTTTTCAGCACGTTTACTGCCTTACTTTAGACTTCACTTTTCAGGTTGACTCATGATTTTGGAAAAGTAACAGATTTTCTTGGGATTGCCCACACACACAGGCTGATGGGACAGCCTCTCACAGTGGTTTGGGTGCAGGTAGCACTTTGTATCTAATATTGCTGCAGCATCGGTAAATGGGGTAGAGCTAAGGAGTTACTTTACCATCACCTCAGAGCAATTTAGGAGGTATGGATCTTGCATTACTGGCTTCTGCTGAAAAGGAAGGCCTAAGTGGCAGTGGGATAGAGCTCCTTACTGCTATGAGGCTGCAGTGGGGGATCTCCTGGCCTCAGCAGTGCTGCAGAACTGCCTTAGGGCTCTGTGCAGTCTGGCCTGTTGATCAGCAGCAGGCTGGGATTGCACTGAACACTGCTGAACAGGGCCTGATTTGTCCTTGACTCAGGTGTTGGAAAATGCTGAGCAGTTGGTGTTACTGCAGAGAATTCCATCGCTCTGTGACAGGCAGCTCAGCTTTTCCCTGATAAGGGCTTGAGAGATGATGAAGCTTTGCTTGAACTGGTTTTGAGCCTTAGTCCATGTTATGCTCATTGCAAATATATGTACTTTGAGCTTTTTCTCTTTAAGCAAATCCATGTAGCAGTACAAAGCTTAAAATCCAGGGCAGTGGCTCAACATCCTTGCTTCAGGTTCACCTCAGGAGGTTGGTGCCTGCTGCTGGCAGACACTCCAAGGCATGGACACTGCTGTTTTGAACTGTGCCTTCATGTTGAGTCTGCAGGGAACCTTGTTTAGAAGGGTTAGATAAACAGAATTAGGTTGCATTGCCAGCAATGATGTTCTTATTTAATGCATTAATGAGTGCAGGTGGCAGGACCTCTGAAGTGAATTAAATGCAATGCAAACTCCTGCTATACTAGCAGAGACATTGTGAGCCACTGAATGCTGAGCCAGCTCATTTGAGAGATGAGGTGGGAGAAGGGAATGAGCTGCCCATGCCTGAATGATAATTTTGAGCATTACCTTACAGCACAATCTGCTTATGCCAAAGAACCAAGAGCAGGCGAGTGTGTTTTAGAGCTGCATTTCTGTCAATAGCACCATTAAGGTGGTCACAAAAACAGATTGACTTGCTTGTCACCTTGTTCTGTTACCTGGCAGGATTCAAAAATTCACTGGTTAAAAGAATTCTGCTCAGCCCACACCAGCACTTAGAGTGCTAGAACAACACCACCCAAATCCCTTCCTTTCCTTCTATAGGCAAGATGCTGGAATCCAGCTCAATTACTGTGCTCTGCTGGCCTTTCCCACGGTGAAACCTGGTTTTTATTTCCTGCTGCTTTAACCTTAGTATCAGTGAAATGATTCCTGGAAAGCTTGTATTGATTGCACATGATTGTATAATTAAAGTGCAATAAGAAGAATTGCAGAACACTCACAGCCCTGTGCTCATTGTGGACACTGTAATATGGAAAATGTCAGTGCTTATTTCCCTTTGAATTTCCAAGCATCTCCTGGAGGCTGCACTTGTGTGATTAATTTTTGTCCTAAGTAACAATTGGAAAGAAATGTTACTTAGAGAAGAAATGAGGCCCCACAGGCTTGCAGGGGCCCTGTTGTAAACCTGCTAGCTGTAACCCTAAAGGGAGGCACTTCTAAATGAATATATTTTAATCTGAAACCTGCTAGATGATCCTTTAACATCATGTACACACATATAAATGGATATCAATTATACAATATATAGGGACAAGTCTTTAAATAATACTCTCTGGTCTTACCTGGAGGCTGTTTGTTGCTCTGCCTGGACTTTAGGGCTGTTTTGTTCCCTATTCCTTGTGGTTTGATACTTTCCAGTGACTTGGATCTTGCTGAGATGTGTGAAATGAGCTAATAAAAAATAGATCCCAGTCCTTGATACATTGCAGGAACCCAAGAGTTTGTTATTACAGGAGTGCCTCTTGCTTAGTCACTGACTGAATACATGGCCTTGAGGAAAGCACTGAACTTACCCAAATCTTCAGCTTGCATCTCATCTCTAGATGACCCATGATTCACTATGAAGTATTTACAGAGCTTTATGAATGATCAGTAACTCTGCCCAAGACAGAAAGATCAGTAGAGAATGTTGGACTTGGAATTAATTACTGACACATCAACTGCATACAAAACCTCTTAAATACATTCAGTATCATGTGTGAAACTGACTTTTCCCTTTCCTTCTCTTCCAGATGTACTTTCCGATTTCCTAGCACCGCTATAAAAATCCAGTTCACATCTTTATACCATAAAGAGGAAGTAAAAGAGGAAGCCTCAACACATCCCCTTCGGCCACTTTACCCTCAAATCTCACCTCTGAAGATCCACATCCCGGAGCCGGATCTCCGGAGCGTGGTCAGCCCCCTCCCGTCCCCCACAGGCACTATCAGGTAAGATGTTAATTCTCAAAAATGTGTTCTCTGACATCAGTCTGTCAGCCATGATTTGTTTGGTATCCTTGGTGCAAGAAATGCCCAATTAAATATAACTAATTAAATCTCTGATGTTCAAAATTATGGGAGACTGCTAAAAAATGTTATGGTGGCCAGCAGTAGGGCACAAGGGTTTTGTTTAAGAGCTCAGAGGGTTCAAGGGTAAACGTGAGTGTTGGTTTCACACTATAGAGTTACATATAGAGTCTATCTTTGGCAGTGGAATTAGAAATATTTACTGAGAGCTACCTATATGCAGGGAGAAAAGAAAGCAGGCATATACTTTCTATCTTAAGACTGCCTGTTTTATTTTTATCTCAGTAATATTCTGTTGTTGCTGGGTGGTGCTGCTGTTATCTGAAGTTAGGGACAGGGGTGGCCATTGGCACATGATTTCCTGGGAATGGAAGGAAATGGGGGTAGGATGCTGACCATGTACTGAGGGGCTGTAGCAATCTAAATGTACATCTGGGCGAGTATCCTGTTTTGTAAATGATATGATCTGTGGATGTGCAGTAGAAATAAAATGAACATCAAGTTACTGTATGGAATATTTTCTTTCTTCTTCAGTAAAGAGTTGATGTTACAGAGTTTCAGTGAAATCTTTTAAAGTTAAATCTGTTGCTTGAAGTATCCTGCATTTTTTAAAGTAAAGGAGACTTGTGGTATATAGGATGATGCATTAGAATTTTAAAACGTGTGGGCATCAAAATAGCAAGAGTGTGCCTGGTAATAGTAGTAGCCTTTGGGTTGTTTTCTTGTCTGTACATTTGTAAAAAGGTATAAGATGCAAATCTCTTCTAACAGCACTAATTCAGTGAGTAGTATTCAAATCTGCATGGCTGAGACTGACTTCAGAGTCACAATGAAGCTGGTTTGGGTTTGCATGATCCACAGACTTGTTTGGGTTTTTCCGACCGCCTTACAGAGCTGCACAGATGTGCAGTGCAGATATTCTAGAAAGAGGGGGCTGGAGGTAGCTGTGGTTTTAGTCCTCTGTTCAGGCACTGCTTTTAGTTTATATTTAACCTTCTCTTTTTAGATGAAGCTTGTTGCTGGGAGGGGAGGGGGATGGTTCCTTTGCCAACATATGGTAGTTAGTTTCCATTCAGTCATCTTGTGCAAAGCAGCACAGTGTGGTTTGTGTTACTAACAGAGGCTGCATCTTTTGACTCTGGCATATGCCTGCAACTGATACTTGATTCCCTGGGAATGTTTCTTTTGCATAAGGAGAAAGTGGAAATAGTAGTGTTGAATTGTGCTCAGCCCCTAACGCAGTGTTTACTGAGGATGATTAATGATTGCATCCGTTTGTCTCGAGCAGAAGCTAATCCAGCCAAGTCTTCAGAAAACCTCAAAAGACATCTGAGGTTTCGCTTGCTGAAGCCCTTTCATTTCCGAGTTCCTCTTACAGAGGAGGGCCTGACACGTTTGTAAACATCCCTGCTCAGCCCCTTCAGCCTTCCCCTCTCCCCCAGCAGGGTCTTGCAGCTCTCCCCTGTGGGCCAGGCTTGGGAAGTGATTTGGGTGTTTCTGCCTGAGAAGGGAATGCTCCTTTGGGAGCATGTAGCTATGCATTCTGGCCATCTGACTTGCAGGGCAGCTCTCTGCTCTCTTGGTGGCTTCACAGTGCTGGGTGAGGCTGGCACAGCCTCTCCTCCTTCCCAGAGGCAGAGCTGGGAGGGCTGGTGGGGCTCAGCATGAAACTCAGACCCCTGTCCCACTGCTGGCTTTGGGAGGTGGTTGCTGGGTTCTCCTCCTCCTCCTTCCTCTCCCCCTTCTAGTATTTACTTTCCTAATTTGGTGCGTTTGCCTTGCTCCTCCCTGATTGGCCCATGGAAAATTATTGCAGTTTGGAAATCCTGGGCAGGGTGAAATTTCCTTTTTGGAAAGTGGCTCCTGGCCCCCTTTTCCTGCCTCCGCCCTGGTGTAGGGCAGGGGCTGTACCTGCACTCCCCCCACCAGATCAGCCCTGCCCTGCTGATCCCCAACCCTGCTCTGCCTCCCTGTTTACACTGCAGCTTGCTTCCCTGCAGGTTCTCCCCTGCAAGCTTCTGGGTTTTTTCCAGCCTATTTATTTTCCCTCTGCAAAGTGCAGTGCCTAGAGAGGGAATGAGCTTTAGTTAAACAAAACCAAACCTGCCACCCTCAGCAGCTTTGCAAAGCAAGATTCCTGCTTATTCCTGGGGAGAAATGTGCTCACTGTTTTCCCAGCTAGGTGTTTTGTCTCCAGGAGGGGCTGTGTGTGGATGTTTTTTGAATGCTGTTGTACAGCTGTAAGGGAAAATGTTGGTTGGCAGCATGCTGTGATGGCTGCAAACAGGCATGGATTATTTCTTCCTGATTTGAGTTCAAAACTCCTTTTCAAAAAAATCAAACTTGCATTTTTCTTTCCTTTTCCAGAAAGGAAAAGGCCACTGTGGTTGTAAGAACTCAGTAGAAGCAGCCTGCCATTTTACACAACATGTGAAAGGGCAGGGTAGCACTAAATTGCTCCTCAGCAGCTTCAAGGCATTGAAAAGCTCTGTGAAAATCATGTGGGGTTTGCTTGAATTCAGCTCTACTTTTTGGAGATAAAACTGAGTCACAGTTTCAGGAGTTAAGGAACTGTCTGTTAGTACATGGCTTTAAGCTTCTGCACCTTGGATTTGGAAGCTCCTCTTTGCGTGACAGTGGTTCCACAAAGTTTCTCACCTATGCTGCAAACACTTAACTTTGCCTGATTTTGTGATAAATGCACAATATCTACATGTATGTGACTCTGTGTTGTAACCCAGTCCACAGAGTGGCTTGTGCTTGGATTATTATCAGATCTACAGAGACAAGGTATGATGAGGACTCTATTCCTGGTCTCAAAGTCTTACCGAGTTGGAGTTTAGATTTACAGTGTTTAGTTTCCTTTTTGCTATGGTCCAGTCATTATTAATGGCAGTAGCAGTAACTTAACTCAGTTTACCAAATTGCATCTCTCTGCAGCCTTGCTCCTCAGAGCTGGGTTGGTTTTAATATTTATGAAAATTAAATTTTTTCTTTGTGCTTTGTTTCCTTATTCTAGACAGCAATTATGTTCTCAGTGAGTTATATATAGAGATACACACACACACTACAATACAGAAATACTAAATGTCCTACTGTGGAGGTCAGTAGTATTATTCATATTTTACAACTGCTACTTCTGGCTTATCTCTGCACTAGAATAACTTGGGGCTTGAACGTTTTGTCTTGTACTTGTTTGGGTTTTTTCACAGAAAGGGCATGGATTCTTAGCTCACAAACAGTCTTTATCAGTAAAACAATTTCTTTGATATGTAGGAGTAAGAGTCCTTAGGGTCCTGTGAGAACCTCTGCTTGAAAAGTGCCTGGTGAGGTTCAGTGTTAACAGCTAGACTGGTAACTGGTAATATTTGTCTTAACCCAAATTTGTATTTTAAATGTTAGCTCTTAATGTGCCTGCCCGTGTTTGGCTGTTACTGGAAGGGTTGATAACTAGTTTGCAATGCAGTTAATGGCATGATAGTAAAAGATCAACTTCTTTTGTTCTATAAGCTTGATTAGTAAACCAGAAGGTGTGAGCTGAATTGCTTGGTTTCATATGGTCCTTTTTTCACTGAGAGAAATGAGTTCAGTAACACATTGCATGCTCTGATAGTGGATTACTCAGAGGTAACTGCAGTTATCTTTACTTAGCCACCAACTTGTTTTGTGGCCTTTAACAGGTCATTTAAATTCATTGTCTGATTTTTATGCATGCATAGTGTAATTACTACTTCACAAGCGTGTGTAGTAGATAAATTATGTATTGAGCTCTTATTCCATAAAGCATGACATGAGTGTGTGTGAGCCATGTTCCAGCAGACCTGCAAGTGCTGGCTCTGCTTTGATCCAGACTTGGCTGGGGAAAAGGAGGGGGGCTTTTTATAGGCTCCAGGATAGCCACGCACTGCTATTTCACAACCCTTGGGATTTACTCTGCACTTGCACGTTTACTCTGAAGGTGTGTGGGGGAAGCTGAATGAAGCCTGGTTTCAGTGGATGCATTCACTCAGTGGAGCAGGATGCATAAATATTCCCTGTTCCATTTCATTGAGGCTTTGTCTCTTCCCAGAGCACTGTGAGCCATTGAACTGAAACGCTGCTGAAGAGCTCCAAGGCAGGTTTTTTGCAAAGCTCTTTTGCATCATCTCAGTTATACATTACTTCCTGCACTCAGGCAGAATGCACAGCTCAGGCAACTCCCACAGTTGGACAGAGAGGTGATTATTTTTAATCACCCGAGTCTCCAAACCACAAGCCAGGGAGGATGATGCATATACATCACATAAGAGAAGCAACAGTCTGTGCTGGGCTGGGGAGCTCCTACGCATGTTTATTGCAGATAATGGACCGTGTGCTAGAGGACATGTGCCAAGCCATGTGCTGGAGGAAGGGTTGCAGATGTCACCAGCTACAGGAGCACTTCCTCTTCCCCAATGAGTATAAAATGCTCACTGAATCCACAGTTGGGGTGAAGTCACTTCCTTTCCAAGGGAACCACTGGAGCACTGACGGGTAATAACAATTTCACCTTTCGTGGATAGTTCACTTTCTCTCACTTGTGGCTTGTTCGACAGCTTTGGTTTTCTTCAGCATTAAGCAGGCAGGGTAGCTCTCAGATTTCTCCTTTCACATCAAAATCCAGCTTGGTTTGGCAGTCTCACCACTTGTGATTGCTTCTGAAACCTGTCTGAAACACACAACGTGCAAGGACTTGCCTTTCTTTGAGTTACAATTTTGGGGCTAGGCTGGGGAAGGTGAGAGCAGTGCAGGATTCTCAGCCATTCTTGCTGATTGGTGTATCGTGGAAAGGCTTGTTTCGCAAGTCCAAGGGCTGTACTTTGACCTGATTCTTGCTTGTTGCACATAAAAAGCGTCCCTGTATCTTCATGCCCCTTTTTGCAGGCTAATGAAGTAGATCCAGA